CTGCTGTCATCCTGGTGTCTAACTGAAAAGAACCAACATGAGAGGGTCAAGGTGTCACAGAGCAGCAAGAAGCATCCTGATACTATGCAGACAGAGTCTCTATTGACCATCAGGCTCATGCCAGACTTGGAGAAGCCCTGCCTGACAGGTCATGCTCAGGAGCATCCTGCTCTGAGCTCCCCATGGGTGGGTCCTGAGCCCAGGTAGGACTGGATATGCCTTGCTTTTTCAAGCTACAATACTTTTTGAAAGAATGTCTGGGAAAATTCAAGGGCAATAAGTAACAGAGGTGCAAGGGGCAAGATCTTGTGATCTGAAACCTGAGTAAGGCATTGGAAACGGAGATGTAGTTTATGGCTGCTCATCAGAGCAGAGACACAACTACCTGTGAAGTTACTATTGAAACTGGTGGTGTTAGATACAATGACTGTATAAATAAATAGAAAGCAAGACTAGAACCCCAGCCTCCCGCTCAGAGTTTGGCAAATAAAGAAGAGCTCTTCTTGCTAGTAGCACCCAGGGCAACCCCTGTGAGAGAGTTGGGGGGTGGGGACGGATGGACAGGACTGTGTTGGAGTTCCTGGCATGGCAATGTTGCCAGGGCATGGATCCGCTAGGGGTTGGGGATAATTCTGGCACCCCCCCTAATTTGTGGTCCAGGGTTGGTGCCCCTCTCATCCACCTCTAGTTATGCTACTGCTTCTAGCTCATGCTTGTAATGAGCATAAGTCTTCACATCCTCTACATGGATCTGCCACTGGGGGACAACATTGCTCACATACTTATGAACCAAGGGCTCAACCCAGTCCTCCTCAGAGTCAGTAGAAAAAATTCCCATTGACTTCCTGAGGATTGGATGAGGCCCACAGGCAGTACCTTACAAGGTGCTTTTAGAAGATTTGTTGCTGGTCTGAGAAGGCAGCAGACTGTTAGCTTTGCCTGGTACATAGGCTTGTGGAAATACTCTCTTGGCACTCAGCCACATTGGGTTGGGGATGGTATCTCGTAGACAGGGACAGGAAATCAGGTTGGCTAAGCAAAAGAAGTAATGCCAGATCACTCATGCTGACTAGGAAGGATCATCAGAAGGCAAAACCTGGGCAAAAGTGGGCAGAATACATCAAAGACATCACCTAGTGTGCAGTTAAAAAACTGAATGGGATATGGGTATAGCAGCAAATGCAGACCCATCTCCCCTCAGCACTGACAGAATGATGCTCTTCTCCCATGAATGCTCACCTGAGGCTGATGTGTTTCAGAAAAGAGGAAGAGGGTGGGGAGTTAGATACATGGACGAGATTCCTGAGTGAGGAGAGTGCAAAACCCATCAGTACTGAACCTGGGGAAGAGATGGTTACAAGTGATTTCCCTGAGGGAGGGGATTTGCTAAAAATGGGTCTGCCCCTATTTCTGACACGGTCCTCCAGGAGAAAACAAGTAGCCACCTCAAATGACTGCTAAAGTCAGGACAAATAGTAGGAAACATCCTGGCACTTACAGCAAGGGTTTACCTGCAGCTTCATGAGTGCCAGCCTCCTTCACATGTCATTCCCAAGTTTCCACAGGGGTTAGCTGTCTGATGAGGGGCAGCATTTGTGATCATACATAACAAGATGTGAGAATGTTTATTCAGATACTGCAGGGCGTAAATCTAGGGTTCAAGAAACTGTCCTGTCTCCAAAGAGAGCACTGTGCACATTATGGGACAGGGTGTTTGGTTCCCCTGAAGCCTCAGGCACAGTCCAGTGCCAGGATACTCAGTTGTACAGAGCAGCGATTTGACCCAGCTGGGAACATTTTGTGTCTGTGGGCTTTTTACCAGGGACTGACTGCAGGACTTGTGCTCTTGGCTCCTGTGCTGAGCTGGATGCTGAATTTGTGGTAAACATAGCCTTCAGTGCAGCACTATTCAGCCTTGGCTGACGTTAGCTGCGGAGAAGCATAGGGCCTTGGAACTCAGAGCAATACGCTTACTGTTTGCCAGTGGCATCTGATTATCTTCTGACATGCCTTATTCAAGTAGGGGGCATCTCAGTCTTTTTCACTGGGGAGGGAGTTGCCTCACTTCCAAGCCAGCACTCTCCCCACCAGATCACATTGTCTCCCCTCCAGCCCATATAAATATAAGTTGGCAAACTCTGCTTTTCCAGCAGTGAAATTGCTTAAGTCTCCCCCCTTTGGAGTCTGGGGAGCAAATGGCACAATTTCACCATCACAAGGCAAAGGATGGAGGGAAAGAATCAAATCCATCAGCCTTCAGGATATCTGATCTCAATAAATGATCCTAGCTTAGTTCTCTGGCCTTGCTAGCTCTGTAAGAGTTCTCCTAGTTGGTGATGGTCTGTGGCAGAGGAGAGGAGACCTCGAGGGCCAGTACACAGAAGATTAGCTGAGCTTGCATCACCTCTCCCAACGGTCTCTCTGAAGCAACAGCAGAAGAAACTTCTTTGTCGTGCAGGTCAGTCAAACAGTCAGAAACTGAGGAGAACAGCCCCTGGCTGGGGAGTAGGGCCCCAAGGGAACCTAGGAGGGCAGGGATGCCCAAAAAGAAACCCTTCAGTGGATGGTGGGCAAAACAAGGGGGAAGAGTTGTTATCGCTAGATCAGAGGGGGATCCACAGGACTCTGCAAGACAACCAGTGGGTTCCAGTGTCCATCAACCACCTCTGAGCAGTAATAACCACCGGCCCCTTGCAAGTATAGCACAAGAAGCAGCTACCATAAAGCTGCCTGCTCCAGCAGGAGCAGCTGGAATCAGCTCCAGAGCCATCCTAACACCAGTTGCTCTCTCTCCATCTGCTGCCTGCTCTACATCCAGCACTAACCAGGGGGTCCTTCCTCCCTCCTGCCCCTTAATCACTCTTCCCCTCCATCAATGGCAGGGGGCAAGCCAACCATGGGGTACATGGGGATGCTCTTCCCTGCTCTCCCTCATGGGGTATGCCTGATGCAGGTAGGTTCTTCTCTCCTGGGCCCAGCAGGTCTGGGGTTCTGTTCCCCAAAAGCCATACGAGGAGAACTGATACTGGGGAGCTGACATGCTTGGGAAGGGTTCCTTGTGGCTGGTTTCTTTCCCCACACAGAGTGAAGGGGAGGCCAGACTAATGGGAAAAGTATTCAGGATGCCACAGCTCAGAAACACTGGGATTTGGGCTGAGTGAGCTGGGAGTACTGGTCAGGGCTTGTGGAGAACCTGTGTTTCCTCAGCTCAGATAAGGGAAGTGGAGTACTGCCATGCAGTCAGTCCACAACAAACTGGTCTTGCTACCAGGGGTTGACCATGGCCTCACCCAGCCTACTACACCCAACAGCCCACTAAGGAATATATAGAAATGGCTCCACTCAATGAGAGATGAGGGCCTGTGGGACTGACAAGAAACAGAAGTCACCAGGATGTGCTCAAAGGGGATGTGCATGGGAAGAATGCAACTATGGGACATCTTAGAGAATGGTGAGAATGGGGCATGGACATTTGGGGAAAGCAGTGGTGGAGTTCCAAGGTGTGAGTATATTTAAGCAACCAAGGCTGACTCTAGCAGGCAGCTTTACCCCCAAATTGCACATGCTCCCTGCAACCCCCACAGCACAAGAAATACATTTAAAAACAAAAGTCCATTATTTAATCAAAGTCTAAAATCCTACAGGAGTCAGAGATGGCAGAAGAGTGGCAACCACTGGCTACTTCCAGTCTTAAATGTCCTAGTACAAAGCTGCCCACCAAAGGTTATTGAGGTTCTAAAGGGTTTCACTGGCTTGCTCCCTAATGCTTCCACTTGGCTCTGTGATTCATGGTTAAACTCATTAAGGGTAGCAAAGGGAGGAGCAATGCAGCAAGATCAAGTGAAAGGGAAGGTATATTCAGATACCCATTGCTGATGCAACCTTTGGCACAAGTGCAAAGTAGGGCTTGAAACTCTGCCCTGAGAGCAACAGCAAGACATCTTAGCTGTTCTGTCACCACACCTACTACTGTAGCAAAAAGGGGGGGGGACCAGGACAACCGCCCCAGGAACCAAAGCGAAGGGTGTTAACAGGTGCTGCCCAGCCAGGGTGGGGTGTGGGATGGAGCCGTGAGCAGCTTATTTGGGGGGCATGGGAATGGGGGGTGGTTCCTGCTGCTGTATGGACCCCTGAGCAAGCATGGGGGGTGTATGCCCCCCGCATCTATGCACAGGACAAGGGCGGGCTGCTGCTATGGGTTTGCCTTGAGCACCAAACTTCTTTGCTACGGTACTGACCAAACACCTGAACAAGAGCAAGGCAAGGACAATTTGTGTGTGCACACATGTACATATAGAGGTCAGATTTTGCATAAACTGCAACATGTTGGGTGAATGCTAGGTGCTGAGCTCTTTGGAAGATGTGGCAAAAAATGCCCTACCAGTGAAATCAGCTGAATGAGCCTTCAAAGCCAAGTGCTGGTAGCTACATTGCTTGGGACATTATAGATAGGGTTCCTCAGACTACTTAGGGACAAAGTGCTATTAAGACTTCTATTCCTTCCCCTTCTTGATGCTTGCTGTTAACATACCTTAACTCTACAGAGACAACTCCCAGGTCCCTCCTGCATAGCTCATGTTCTACCCAGCTAGGCACATTTTGTTCTTTAATTTCTTAATCTCTTTCAGTGGTTCTTTCCCATTCCCCACAGCTATGATTCATCTGTAAGAAGAAGCATGATGATACTGCAAGGAAAGCTATTCCTGGGAAATCTTTGACTTGGTTTGAAGCAGTAAGCAGCAGATGTCTTGCCTGAGTGCTAGCACAGAGGAATCTGAAAAAATCTGAGAAGCACCTTCATTTGAGGATTATTTTCCCTGTGGACTGAAAACTGGGAGCCTGCTGAGTGATGTGATGTCCATTATTCCTACCCTAGGCAGAGCAGCATGATTCAAGGCAACAGTGCCAGGACACTTGGGTTCTGTTCTTAGCTCTCCTACTGATTTCCTGCATGACTGTGACCAAGTTGTATTCCTGCTACATGAAAGGCCAGAGTGAAGGTGAAGTCAGCCAAACCAAGGCTTAAAGCAGGCTGGATTGTGTGGGAAGCACAGACAGGATTTACAAAAATCAACTGAGAGAGGAGAGATGAGTGCGAGGTGAAAGGGGCATGCTCAAGGCACTTGGATAACAAAGCTACTCAAGTCTCAGCATTTTGTTATGGTGATGAGATGCTGTGTCTGCAACAGCAGTGAGTAAGAGAGTTAAGTGTGGGAGGACAGACTGAATTTGGTGACAGGCTTATAGGGTCCTTTTCCAGGGGTGCCTGTAGGAGAATCCTCCCTGCAGGAAGGGACTGTGCCCAAGTTTCCCATTAGTGTTTATTTCTCTCTTCTCTTGCTCATAAAAAGGGATCTGGCCCTTGGGCATTTGCAATTCCAGGTGAGTCACTAGTGGTGGTATGAATAAATGAGATTATTCCACCAGAGGCCAATAACCAGGCCTAGCCCTGCATGAGGGCCACAGGAAGCTTTATGCAACATGCTCCTAGACAATAACTTCAAGGACTGCTAACATAAGATGTTCAGGAGACAATGTGGCAAACACCCAAGACTCTTAGAGGCTCCAATTGGAGATGCATGTGTTAATTAGGATTCTGAAGAGCTACAAGCAGCCTCCCTGTAACCTAAATGAATTTACTACCTTTTGGCTTTCCCCTGTGCTCTACTCAGCACCTGCTGGTCGGAAGCAGGGTGCTTACTCCAGTGGATACAAACACTATGGATGGGAACACCACTGACCTCCTCTCCATCCCTTTGTATTTATACCATAGGCCATATGACTTCTCTTTTTCCCCTGACATCCACATAGCTAAATCCTATAGAGGCCCAAGTACCAACAGAGGCTGATGCTCCCAGGAACAAATCCTTAGGACAGGAAGGTGTGGCTCACAGGAGACAGAAATGGCTACGGATGCTTCAGTGAAGTTCACAATAATGAAGCAACTTTGTCCTGATTTGTAGGAAACACTAGGCCAGTGATCATAAGCTGGGGTTACCTCATGGCTATCCCAAGGGCCCCATGATATATATCACAAGGGAAATCCATCCCATCCACTTCACTGGCTTGGCTCTGACTCTAAACAGCTCCTTCTTCTCTTAGTAATCCTTAAACTCTGTCTCCCCCAAGGCAGTGATGATCTTTGAGCACTGAATATACAATAAACTCTGCCTAACAGATGAATCCTACTGAGCCAATCTATGTCCTGTTCCTTGCCCTCCAACATTAGGAGCACAGAGGGGGATACTAGGGATATTAGGGACTAGGATATGAGGATACAGGAAGAACTTTATGAGGTTCATTAGAGGTGAACTCACCCCTCGCAGGGTACTTATCCACACCTGAGTAACAGGGACAACATAGCACATGCTGAGAACGCTCAAAGTGTTCTTACTCATTGCTTCATAGAGGAAAATTTATCCTGGTTCATGACTGGCTGGAAGAATTCATGGAGTGAATTGGAGAGCTCCTACTGCTCGTCTCCTGGGAGATAAACTCTATCGAGGGGATCTCAAACAATACAGTCCAACTGTGCATGGAAATGACTGCCTCCTGAATGGCTGCTGCTGAATGACACTGGAGTCAACACCAATCAGATTGCATATGCAAATCTCTGCCTCCTGATGGGCCCATCCAAAGTGAAGAATAGTGCATTTCAACCCCATTTGATTCAGCATGGAGAGCCCTCCAGATGGAAAAATTCAGAACATATAGAATAATAACAACATTGACTTAATGCTTTGATGGGCATCAGTCATTTCCCTTGAAACACTAATTAAGCTCAGCTTAACATGGGTCAGTATTTGCCTTCCTAGCCAGTGAACCTAAAGGTTCAACTACACAGAAGTCAATATTTATGCAGGATATTATTCAGCCACCCAGAATGAGATGTTGGATTCTAACTGCTTTTCAACCAGCCTACCCAACTTGCAGACATTACTGATCATACAAGTTACAAATTCCCATGCTGTGCTGATTGGAAAACAGTGCAGCTATCCAACCTGAATGCTGAGATTTGCATATTAGACAGTTAATTGACAGGTGATTAGCAACTGTACAATATGCAAATCCCTCTGCTCTTGTTACTTCCTGTACTCTTTGAATATCTCCGCAGTATGCAAATCCTCATGCTCAGGCATACAATTAATAGCCAATCAGAGTGCCAGGATAGTTAATGACATTGGAATGCAGCTACCAGCCAATTTCCGTATCCATGCAGTAGGAAAAGCTGTTGCTTTTGCCTTCATCCATATGCCCACAACAAATATGACCAATGTGATGTCTCATTCCATACATCGGGTAGAAAATGAAAACATCTATCCCTAAATTAAGTCTCAACAATTAACGCATTAAGATAGTCTCAGAGATCAGTGCAGTTAACAGTACCCTCAGTGCCCTTCTGCTCACTGGTCATTCATTTAACTCATTATTGTTAGCATCCTGTAAACAGAAAGCACCCTCAAATTCATGTTCTCATCATACAGCTCTCCACTGTCAGATCTGGCCTTTGGCTACAAACCTCCTCCCAGCTTGACACTATACTGGGAACAAACTGTATGGTGTGGACGGCTGGCATTTGCTGTTAAAAAACATCTAGTTATAAAACTCTCCAACATGAAATTACAACGCAAGAACTCACTATGCAAAACCCAGACAATTGGCCCATTTTTTTTATATTAAACTAACAGGAGATCCCTATGTTGACACCTGACTGCTCATGCATGAACCAAGAGAATAATGTGGTATATACAGCTGCATTATGTCCTTGTATAATACCTGCTTCTCATGTTAGCTGCCTTCTCTAGTAGCTAATGTACCGCATATACCAAAGTGACCATGGCCCCCCTCCATCATGGATAAACATGTATGTCCCATGTGGGCCTAGCATGGGAAAGCCTAAAACAGACACACAACTCAAACTCTATTGAGGGCCACTTGCTAGGTGCACTCTCCAGGGGAGGGTCACCATTGTGAGATGGATGGATCAACTCTGATTAGACAGGAGCCTCCTCAGTGTATTTGCAAGTAGGAGATGTAACTGTGCAGGCAGCTGCACGTACAGATTAATGAATGGCTGTGCAGTGAGGACACATTTGCTTTTCAAATGTTTTTTTCCTTTAATAAAGTGCTTTAATAAAGAATTATGGTAGGCCACTGGTATTGCATGGTGGCTCCATATGGCTTGCAGGTCCTGTGTCTTGAACCTCTGGCCTAGAGGAAACCCTGGCTCTGGATGCCCTGTCTGCCTACAGCCCGTAATAGCACACAGGACTGTTGGCTTCATAGTTCTGGACTGGGCCTTTCTGAGGGTGGGTGAAGAAGCAAGATGGATAGGAGTCAAGATGGATAGGAAATAAGCAGAAGGGATCTGAGGAACATTAATTGAGCTGCCCTGGAATTCACATTCCTACAGGTCTAAGATACGCAGACGGGGAGGTGATTTTCCAGCTTCCATGTGCATCTGATACTTCATATAGAGCCTTGAGAGGGGTGTGAGAAGTGTATTTATAACACCTACTTGGGGTGTGCACATACAGTGGGAAACTCGATTTTCCTGTCACAAGTGAAATAAATAACAGCAGTAATAACTAAACAACACAGCATAATGCAGTGATTATAGTCTAGTGGTACCTCTCCAGAGCCTCACACATGGCTCATTTTAAACAGTCAATATAAGTCACTTTATATTGTTACCAAGAGACACCACATCATCAGGCTTTCTTGGTTGCGGGGGGAGGGGAGATGATGACACCAGTGTTTTCCACTGAGAAGTATGGCTGGAACACTAACTTACAGAACCACTGGTAGATGTATTACGTCTGCCTACAAGTAGCGGGAAACAACCATGAGTAATATGGATGTGTCTGGCCATGAGCCATTAGAAGCTATTTCACTAGAGCACTAGGCCAATCATAGCCCTTTGGCCAACCAAAAATTTCCAAAGAGCATCTGACTTGCAGAACCACAGGAATTAGAAAAGGGAAAGCTCCATGAAATCATCCAGTCTGTTCTTTTGGAGCCAAGGCAGCCCTGGGCCATAGCATCTAGTCTGCTGCCCAAGCTAGCTCTGAAAGACTCATTTAATGACTCTTCCACCACTTCCCTTGAGAGACTTCCCCACACTCAGCCAGACAGGAGGGTCTTTGTTAGGGCAAATCTGTTAAGACATTGTTTCCAGGTCTTTGGCTTAAACATCCTTTTGCACAATTGTGTCTGTTGAGTCCTGCCTAGTCAAGTCCTCTGGATGTTTGTGGAGAGCGACGGCAGGATACCTGACTGCATACGACTCCCCACCACCTCTTCAGCCCAGATACGCATGGTTAGTTCTGCTACTCAAGAACACCGGAGCTCTGGGATTCTCTAGTTCTTTCCAGGTTGCCTCAACATTTATAACTCCCAATTAAAATGGGATGCCCAGTGCTGGGCTTTTTCTCTCAGCAGCAGAGAGAAAGTAACAAATTCTTCACTTAGATCCACGGGAGCCAACCTTTTGGCAGGCATGCCACAAGGTAAGCCCAGCCCTCTCCAAGTGCCACTCCAATCCCTTTCCCCTGCCTGATCGGTTGCTTTGCTCTGCTCTCTCCTGCCTGCTCTATCAGGCACGGCTCTCCTTGCTCCCTGCTGGATCTGCTATGTGCCCCACAAAGTGACTGTGATGCTACTTATGGCACATGTGCCACCACCCCTAGTTCAGATGATGCTTCTAACCATTTTAGAAAGTCAG